CTCCCCATTCTCGCCGAGCCGTGGTTGTCACCCTGTGCCAACGTCTCGTGGAGGATCTCCCGTTTTCTAAGGTTGTGTTGTGTGTTGTGGAGTTGATGACACTTCACAGCAGCCCTGTGAACAGCAGACCTGAGCCCTGCCCTGTCCTGCACCGTCCTCATCGTCTCTGGTCCACATGAGTCCACTGTTCGAGACCCTGGGCCCATCCAGCTTGCTGAGAGCTGATGTTGTGCACTGTTGAGTCTGAATTGACTCATAACTGAGAGCTGGTCAGTGATGACAGAAGAATTTGATGCCTTTGGGCTGTGGTGCTGGAGAAGAATATTGAATATACTATGGACGGCTAAGAGAACTACCAGGTTCATCCTAGAGAGGGTGAAAACTGGCTGCTCCTTGGAGTCAAGGATTCCGAAGCTTCATCTCACATACTATGGACATGTTATAAGTCAGGATGAGTCGTTGGAGAGGGACGTCATGCTTGGGAGGGTGGAGGGACAGCGCAGGAGGGGAAGACCCTCTATGAGATGGATTGATTCAGTGACTGGGGTAATGGGAGTAGGTGTGTCAGAGACAGTGCGATTGGCACAGGACAGAGCAGGGTTTAGGGCTGTTTGTTATACACAGGGTCACTATGTGTTGCAGGCAACTCGATGGCACTTAACAACAAATCACACAGGTGAAGCCTGCCCACCTTTCTCCCACGAAGTAGTTGGTGGATTAGAACTTTGCACCTTTGGGTTGGCAGCCTGGCTCCTTGTCCAATGACCACGGGGTGCTGCTGGCCTTCCAGGAAGTGATCCAGAAGGGACTTTATTACAGTACCGAGAGGCCCTTGCGAGAGCCCGCTCTGTTCGTGGAGCGTCTGACACTGCGCCTGGGGAGGACGTGGGCGCCCGGTGGCCCGGTGTGGAACGTACCAGGCTGCTAACAGAGGGCTCGGCGGCCCAAAACCACCCGCTGATTCCCGGGAGGAAGTCGAGCCCCCCCATCCCCCGTGGACTTCCAGCCCTGGGAGCCGGGTCGGTCTCGAGTGGGACTTGCTCTCCAGGGTTACAGTGTGATATTTCACTGACCACTCACCAACATGGGCTCCTGGTCAGACAACCAGCTTCTACGTGATACTGTGCGAAGCCCAGGAAGCCTGTGTCTGTGACCTGCTCCAGCTTCCATGTGCCCGCGTGTCACTGTCTTGGCCCCCAAGCCAGGAGAGGGGGCGTCTCTCGGGAAGACCTCTCTCAAGGGTGCAACTCACACTCCAGGCTGAGGTGTGAACCATGTCTAAAGCCTCCCTGTTGCTTGGGGTTCCCCCTCTTCTCTCCTGCTTCCCTGCCACCCCCCCCCATACAGGTCTTTCATTCCACCCCTGAACACAAGCCCACCTCGGGGACTGACTCTGGGAGACCCTCACGCAAGGCTGTGTCTCGTACAGACCTCCTCAGAGCTCGCATCTTGCTGTGAGGATGGTGTTCAGAGCAAGGAGCTTGGTGGCGCAGTGCAGTAGCTGCTGTCCTGCTACGCGGAAGGTTGGTGAGTGGAATCCACCAATTGCTCCCGGGGAGAGAAAGGTGGCCACCTGCTCCCACCAAGGCCTGCAGCCTCAGAAGCCTGGTGGAGGGTGGGATGCACGTGATCCTGTGGCCTCTTGTGCATGTACTGTTTTAGTAAGAAGGGGCGGCGGTTCGCAATGCTTAGCAACCCCTCCTGACCCCAGGAACTGCCCCTGTGGCCAGCACCACTATGCAATCCAGCATTTCCATGGCGCCAGAGAGGTGGGGGGAGCTCCCGAGGCCACACAGCAGCCCTCAGACACTGTCTCCACCACCCGAAACCTCAGACTGGTGACCGGGCAGTGGTGGGGCCAGGAGAAAAGTTACACAGCCGAGGAAGTGAAAACAAGAAAAGCTTCGTTTCAGAGTCATGAAGTTTATTGTGTTGCAGCTTCGCACAGTCACCACGGTACAACAAGCAATTCCAGCCCAGCCCATCGGAGCAGTGGGGTCACCTTCCTTGTCAGCATCGGGGATGCGGGGATGGTGGGACGGTGTAACCAGGACTGAAACTGGGGTGCAAAGGAAGGGTTCTGACACAAACAGAACAACACCACACTGAACTCAATACCGTGCACGTGGGGCTCCGGGGTTGGGGGGTGGGGTGTGTGTGTGTGTGTGTGTGAACAGGACAGCAGACGTGAAGGGTGGTTTCCGGAAAACGTTTCCTGGTCACGACCCTTGTTTCTGGAAGCTTCCTGTTGTGTGTGGGTAAGAGGAAGGCGCACTGTTCCTGGGGCCAGCAGGCCAGGAGTGGACGAGCCCTGGCGTTTGTGACAACTTGGGAAGAGGAGACGCTTTCCAAGTTTGCAAAAGGACAGAGGCTGGGGGCTGAAGGAGACTCCAGTGTAAACCAGTGTCCAGCAGACTGTCCTGCGGACAAGGAAACAGGGAGAAGAGTCCGAGGACATGAGCCTGGCCACTTCCTCTCGTCTAGCGGAGACTGATGGGGTCCCCTCCGACATGGCACCCCCCAAAGGCCACCATGTGGCCCCTGGCTGTAGCCAGGATCTCCAGAGAAAGGGGCAGTGACTTCGGGAAAAACACGTTCCCTGCATCAGGACCGCCTGCCACCATCACCCTTGGGCACGGCCGGCTGGATGCTCATACGGGCTGCAAACTCGCCACACCTTCAAGTCAGCCGAGGTCAGCAAGCTGGCCCTCCTCGCTCCCTCCAACAGCAAAGAGCACACACAGAGCCACAGAGAAGTGACCAGAGCCTCGTGTGGCCTGAGAGAACATGGGGGAGGGGGATGTTCACCCAGCTTCCGGCTGCCATAAGGCCACAAGTGAGATTTGCATCCTGGTCTGGGGTCTAGTGGGAGGGCAGACACAGGACGTGAGGACGATGGTGGGCAGGTGGCACACCTCACAAAGCCAGATGCAGCCCGGAGGGCAGGAGTGGGCAAAGGGGACCCCTGAAGGAATGTAGTAGCCCTTTGTTAATGCTGTCCAAGACCACCTCACCCTGGAACAGGGAGCCACCTCACCCTGAATAAGGGACCACCTCACCCTAGTAAGGCACCTCAAAGCCCTTCATTGATGTAAAATATGGTCACCATGCCATCCAGAATCATGTCCCCAAACCACCTGGGACAGTCTGTCAGCCTCCTACCAGAATCTTCTCCAGACAAGCAAGATTTAGGCTGAAGGGTCAGGCAGGTCACTGGGACTTCCGCGATGTGGCCTACTTAAAAAACATAGATAAATCGAGAGATAAATCCTTTTTTACTTTAGGGGTGCGTACTATAGAGTTTAATTGGTTTGAACATCAAAACTGTCCTTCAAGTTTATTTGGGTTGGGTTTTTTTTGTGTTTTTTTCCAATACAAAAGTTGCTTTAAAAACAAGTTATCCACTTAGCCCTGCCTTGCAGGTTCATGTATTAGTCAGATACGTGCACAAGTTGGGAGGTGGGATGATAAGGACGTCATATCCTGCCTGGAAAGGGGGCTGCACAACCACTCAGTTCTCAGCAGGAGATGAGGCGTTGGGCCCCCCAACAGCCCCTCCTCCACGCCCTCTCCTCCCGTGTCCACGGGCATGTGCCCACTCACACGGCCACCAAGGGGTTCTGCTCACCGTAAACGGTTACAATGGAAACCCTGCAAACAAGAGCTGAGCCTGACAAAAATGCTCATGAAGACGGAGATAAATAAACACAACTGAAACTGTGTCCTTCAGGGGTGAGGAGAGAGCTGGATGACGAAGTCAAGTTCTACTTGGAAAGGGTAAAGCGAGAGCCTGGCTTGGTTTTCGATTGTTTCACGTGTCCTGAGAGACTCGGGCATGTTGGCCTTCTACCTCGAGGGTGACAGGCAGGGAGGAGCTGGGATTCCTAATACCGGGGCCTTTCCCTACGTGTGCCCCAGGGGGCTACACCTGCCTGGGCCATCAAGTCGTGGCCCACCCTATAACCGCACGCCACCCAAACCAGCACCTCGCAGGTCCCCAGTGACCCGTGGCCACAAGTTGTCCCTTCCCACGGGGACCTCCGTGTTCACCAAAGAAAAAAAAGGAGGAAATGTAATAAGTCCTTCAGTAACAGTTTATTTTCATCTCGGAAAAATCACCACCTGTCATGCCGGGTCGCGTGTCTGGAGTAACTTGGCTGTTTTGTCTGCAATCCAAAGGTCGTTCTGAGGGTTTTTTGGAATCGAAGTGGCCCGGAGGAAAGAACTGTGCCTCCCCCTTCGGTAGGGAATGTATAACTCGGAAATGATCCACAGCTACACTGCAGCGTTCTGCCACGGACGGGGGTCTCACCTCCTTCCGTCTCACGGCTCTCCCGAAACCCCCCCACTTCTCCCCTTAAAAGTCTCAACGAACACCATACAAGTTTCCATCCAACAAGCACTGACATATTATATTAAAAAATAGTGCAAAATCTCAACATTTATATAAATAAACCCCTGCATCGTAATTTTTTTTTTGTACAAGGTAATACACGCTTTCTGAGTTGGCACTCAAAAATTGCCATCTTTTTCCTCTGCTAGTTCAGAAAACATTTTTTAATAGGCCTCTTCTAATACAAAAATATTCCTGCTGCCCTGGCCCACACAGTCTCTCTTTATTTTATATATATTTATATATATGATATTGCAGATCTTTAAACAAAGGTTTGTGCAAATATGTCTTTAAAGTTAAGTGAAATAATAAACAAACATAAAGTAAATAAGCATTCACGCACGCAGCATGACTAGAAACAAACAGGAAAGAAAAAAAAAAGACTAGTGTAGGATTTTTTTCCTCTTTTGCCTTCAAGACACAGCTCAACAAAGAAACGTGGGTTTTGTTGTTTGTTTTCTGCAAGCATTCTCGCTTGTGCATTCAGACCAAACAGGCCATGTAAATATTTATACACAGAGGTGGGGAGGATGGACGGCGTGTTCTGGGCTGCCCTGGCCTCCCCGGGCCCTTCCAGGATGCAGACCGTGGGGCCTCGGCCAGGACCCTACAGCGGATGTCCCTTCGGATTCTCTTTCTTGTTCCAGGCCGAGCTCTCCAGCGGCGTGATGTGTGTGGGGTGGAGTCGGCCACCTTCCAGCATTGGGGGCGGCCCGCTGCCCGGCTGGTGCTGGAAGGAGGTGGACCTGGGGTAGTGGCCGATGACCTCGCTGTAGGTGGGGGGCGGCCCCTCCATGCGGCCCCCACTGCCATAGCACGTGGCGCTGATACCCGAGTTACTGCTTGGGGGACAGGGGCCGCCCAGCAGGCTGCTGTCCATCAGGTCACTGTCGTAGACGGTTCTGTTGGGGGGCGCACGCACCGACTCCCGGTTCAGCTCCAGCTGCTGCTCACGGTCCCTCAGCTGGAGGGTGCAGGGGCCCTGGTAGGGTGGGGGCTCCTCCCCGTCCGACAGCGAGATGGTGGGTGGCAGGTCGATCTCGTGCTGCAGGTACGGGTAGGTGGGCTGGAAGCGGTGGAAGCGGTCCCGCTGGGTGAAGGGGGGCACGGCCAGGCGGTCGGCGGGCCGTGGTGGGGCGTAGATCTGTGACTGAGGGGTAAAGCGGACGGAATGAGGGGCTGTCTGACCGCAGTCCCGGGACGCAGAGCCTGAGGCAAGGGCATGGCTCTGCAGAAGTGGACGGGCAGTGGTCAGTGCTGGGCAAAGACCGGTCTCTGTGGGAGCTGAGTCCCGACTGGACCCTACAGGCAGACCCCCACAGAGCTGGCTGCACCCCGTGCCTGGAAGTGGGATGACCTCTGCAGGGACACATTCCCAGACACTGGGGGCTGCTTCCTGGACGGGGAGCACGCAGTATCCTGGGAAGGGGGTCCTCCCACCCAAGGGCTGGGTGATGTGGGAGCCATTAGCTCATGGGGGAGGGGCAATGGTTGGTCAGGTGAAGGGGCTCTGCTTGCATGGGAGCTGGGGGTGCGGGTCTCACCTCTGGGATCCCACTGCCCGACACAGCGTTCTCCGAGGGCCAGAGGCAGCCTTCCTGTGGGGAGGAGACAGGCCGCAGTGTGAGCTGGGGGTAGAGGACAGAGGGCAGAAGGCTGAGGTCTGGCCTTACCCCTAAATGCTCCCCCTGGGCTAGATTTCCAGCCCAGTCTCCTCTCTTTCACCCCTTGGCTGTCTGGTCTGGTCCAGGCCTCAGGACAGCTCCCTGGGGACATCCAGCCCTGTCCCCCTGCCCCACCCCCATCACACATCTGATTCAGGGTCTTCACACCTACTCACTGGCCAGAGATCTGCCCAAGTCAAACTCTACGGGCTCCCAGGGAAGGCCTTGCGGTACGTGCCCTCCTGGCTGCCCCTTCGGCCTCCACCGTGCCAGCTGGGCACCGCAGATCACTTCACACCCACACTGCCCGCAGACCATTACTGAACTCTCCACTGTAGCCCATGGAATCACTCCACGCCCAACAGGGACATCCCTAGGGCCACATCCGGCCCTCCCTCCCATCTGCTCTCCCCACCAGCCATGTGGACGCCTGTCTCTCACGTCCAGCAGCTCCGTGGTCCGTCTCATCTAAGGAGCCTTTCGAGAAGGATCTTTCTGTCCCCTCACCCTCTCTAGCACCCACAGCTGCAATTGTCCACGTATTTTCCACACGTCATAGTCCATCTGTCCCTCTATACTGTCAACCTCTAACTAGAGACAGGGGAAATCTGGTTGCATTGTGTATTGCACTGCTGTCCTGGAGGACGGCAGTTCAAGTCTCAGCCAGTCCACGAGCGACAGACGGACAGTCTCCTGCTAAGATTTATGGCCTCAGGCCTCAGGAGCCCAGTGGGGGAGCTGCCTTGAGTCAGAATCAACACAGTGACAGTGGAGCTGATGTTCTGACAATCACAGTAAGAGAAGCCCTGTTGAGCGACAGTTAAGTGCCTGTCTTTGACCCATAAAGGTCAGTGGTTCAAATCCACCCAGCAGCTCTGCAGTAGAAAGGTCTGGAAATTCACTTCAGGTTACAAGGCTGCAGCCAAAAAGCCCTCTGCAGGGAGGTCTCGTGGCTTATGGCAAGGAATTGTGCTGCCAACGCGGGCATGGACTGCAACCCCACCAGAAGGACGGACAGTCTCCTCCAGAGCAATTCAGAGCCTCTGAAAACCCTCTGCAGGACCAGCTGTGAGTTGGCTCCAACCTGACGGTACACAACAACAAACACTACGAGGTAGCTGCTAAATGACACACCACCACAGCGCCACGGGGCAGGGGCAGCGTTCCCCGTCCCCGTGAGCCAGAAGAGACTTGAAGTGCCCAACAGCATCGCTGACACCGCCGCAGAGCAGGGTCCGAGACGGGCCATGCACGGTGTCCCAGCCAGCTGCTCCCAGGGCAACAATGCTGTCAGCCCACCAACGTGGGTTGTGGAGCTGGGCCAAGAGCTGGGGGCGGGGCTGCCAGCCCACAAGGCCACTGCCCTAACCCGGCGTTGTGGGCGCTGTTAGCAATTCCTCTCAGGGACCAAGGGGCTGCTGCTGGGCCCTCATCTGCCCTGGGTCATCCACGGCATGCAGGCTGTGTGGACCGGGTGGGTCGGGGCACCTTGCCTTGTCTCGCAGTCCCCAGGAGAGCTCAAAGCACCTGCAGTCGGCATCCTGAACAGCCTGGTAGACCCTGAGAGACAGTCCCTCAGTGGGACAGTATAAGCATGTGTCCACGCCTGGGGCCATCTGCTGTGACTGGACAAGAAAACTGTTTCCAGGCTTCAAGGACACCTCAGCTGAGCCAGAGCTCTGGAGGGTCCACGTCCAGAGAGAAGGTGAGAGTAAGGAGCACAGCACCCCGACCAGGAAGGGCTTTTGGGAAGCAGGTCGCCGGGCTGGTCTTCCAAGGTGCCTCGGAGGGGGCTTGAAAACGCCAATCTTTCCATTAACAGTCCAGATGTTTCAGGATTTGTGCATCAGGTGATTCCTTTCCAAAGCAGACTATCTGATCAGTTCTGTCACAGCCCCACAGCTAAGGGAAGAAGCCATCCATCACCTCCACACTTCCTGCAGACACATCCTCCTAAGGCCTCCCGTAATTACAGGTAAGACCTCTCCTGTACCTGGGTGCAGGGAGCTGCAATTCCCCGTGCTGCCACAAGGGGGCGCTGTGGCCCTCAGAACTGTCCCATCAAGAAGGCAGCAATTCTAGACTCTGGGAGCATCCAGGCCATTTCAGGGGCCCCGGGATGCAGCCAGCACCTGCCGTCACTGCCCATATGGGCAGCCTGGGTCATTCTGTTACTGAGAAGTCTAACACCTCAGGGCTGGACACTGTGTCAACTTCTTTAAAAACCAAAACCCACTGCCACTGTTGAGCTGATTTCCAACACCTGGGGACCCTACACGACAGAGACTTGTCCCCTGGGGTTTCCAAGGCTGAAATCCTCACGGAAGCAAAGGAACTCATTCTCCCAGAGCAGCTGATTGATGCAATGGCTGACCTCTCGGTGAGCAAAGGCTTAATCACTGTGACACCACACACCTCACTGTCCTTAAAACAGTCCTCATTCAGAACAAGCCTTCTCTGAGTTTCTGTCATCCTTGCGCAGGGGCCATGCTAATCTTCTCTGTATCGTTCCAATTTTAGTATATGTGCTGCCGAAGCGAGCACTTCTCTGAGTTTCTGAAAGCCTAAAACCTCAGGGGAGAACATCCAGCTTTTCACCTTGGAGCAGGTGGATTTGAACCTCTGACCCTTCAGTTAACAGCTCAATACATTTCACACCACATCCCCAGGGCTCCTCTAAGGATTCCTCTCAGTCCTCCCAACAAACCTCCACCCAGGGCTGGCCCAGCCCCGAGCCTGTGGGTGAGGTCAGCCGGCTGGGAGAGGCAGCCCTGAACCCACACCCTCACCAGCTGCGTCCACACCCCTCTGGAGGCAGGGCCCTACGTGAGTCAGACCGGACGGTCTCCAGTAGCCTAGCTGGGTCCTGGCCAGCTCCTCCGCCCAGGCTGCGTCCCCGTCCCTGTCCACGTGAACACAAGGAACAGACAGGGAGGCGGGTGCAAACAGCCTTGAGGCCATGTGACCCAGACGAGCCCTGCCTGGCACCACGCTGCTGGCCAACACATGGCTTCCGTCCCCTCCCCCACCAGCAGATACTTCACCCATGGCTCTGTCAGGGGGTAGAAAGCCCTACCTGACCAGTTGCCTCAGGAACAGCCACCCGTGTGTCCTACCTGATGGCCTCCTTTTCCAGGTAGCCTTCCCAGAAGCACCATAGGGTGCTTTTTCAGTGAGTTTCCAGAGGCATAAATCACACAGATTACCCAATCTTCTCCCGGAGTGAAGCTGGTGGATTCGAACCGCATTCCTCTGGGACTGCAGCACAGCTTCCTACCACTAGGCCACCAGTGCTCCCTCCAAGCAGATTATAGCCAAGAAAACCTGAAGAGGTAAGTCCACTCTGTCTCTCACCAAACGGAATCTGGTCAAGTGCCACAGATTTGGGGTTGTCTGGTTTTAAGGAGGGGGTCAATACAGTCTCCAGGCCAAGTTTCATCTTCCCAAGTCCGACACCCCTGCGGGCCTATTTTTTAACAAGTGTCTGAGTCCCTCAGAGCTTTTCTACCTGTGTATAAATGGGCCTATGATGGCTGGTGAGGGGTGCCAGCAGGGACTTCTGCAGGGGTCAGAACCAGAAACTACAAAAGCCCAAACCCACTTGCAATGAGCTGGTTCTGACTCACTGCGACCTTCCACATCGGGTTTCTGAGACTGTCAATCTTTACTGGAGTGACTGGTGGACTTGAACTGCTGACCTTACTGCTGGAAGCCTAGTATGCTGTGCACTGCGCCACCGAACGGCAAACAGAAGGACCCACCAACAAGCTCTTGATCTGGCCTCTGGGCTGCATCTGGCCCTTCCCTCAAGACCCTCAGGCATTTCCAAAATCAATCTCCATAATAGTCTATGTGTTTCCTACTGCCAAGGGGGCCCTTTAGAGTAGTGAGGGAAGACCTTCACCCTGAAACCCACACAGCTTCACTTTTCAGCAGGAAGTAGCTAAGAGAATACGCCATCCCCTTTTCCTTATGAATCAGGGTGAAGTCTCTCTCAGGGAGGAGTGATAGGGAATGGCAAGGGACACACTGAGAAAGGAGATTAATCAGAACTGGCTTTGACAAGCACTGTGGCAATTGGACAATTAAAACAGACATTCGGGGGTGGGGGGAAGAAGAACGAACTGGGGAGGAGGGTGGAGAAAACAGTGCAACAATGAATGAATGAAAACCCAAAATCTCTGTAAATGTTCATTAAAACTAATAAAATTTAATAATAATTAAAAAAAGACCCTCAGCCATGTGCAAATGGCGAGCTGGTGGGATCGCTGGCCTGTAAGGCAGGCCCACCACCTCTCTGAGGCCTGCATGGTCCTCTCTCAGTGCCTCTCGGGGAGGTCATGGGGCTGAGACCCAGGTTCACCCTGTCTGGTGGGGGTGCCCCAGGGGAGCCTCTGCAGTCTACTTTAGGTCTAACCAGGCTCGTGTTTACCAGCCAGCGTCCCCAGGGCCCTGGCGGGCAGGCAGAGCGGGACTCCCAGGTGGCAACACCTGTCCCTCCTCCTTCTACCTCTGGCATCCCGCAGCCTGCCTCCTGCCTCGATCAGCCACTGTGTTCAGCACTGCCCACATGGTGGTCTGCCTTGCAGGGGACCTCCTTCATGCATCCAGAACACACACTTGGAACATCCAAAACCAAAAACCCAAGCCCACTGTCGTCCAGCTGATTTATACTCAACAACGGTCCCCTATCACCCAACGTTGAACATCTTTAAAGGAGGAAATTGCCTCTCTCCCTCCTTCAAGCAGCTGGTAGATTTGAACTAACAACCTTTTAGTTAGCAGTCCAAGATGTAACACACAACACCGCCCTGGTGTCTTCATCTTCCCATGACTGTTTTCAAGCTAACAATGAGGCCAGCATCACCCACTGCACAGATGCAAACACCGAGGCCCAAGCGGGCAGATGCACGCCCTCCCAGGCTCCTGATCCAGGAGCCCCGGGCCTTGAACCACCACCAGCAGTGTGACCAGCCAGTGCCTCTCACTCCCTGAGTGCTCACTTGGTGATAAGCACTGGCCAGTGAGCCCCAGAACAAGGGTCCTGTCAGCAGCCTGGCCAGAGCAGGCCCTTGGGCTCCTGCTGTCTCGGTGGAGGGACCAGTGAGCAGATGCTCTTCCCTGGTGTGACCGCTCTAGTGACACACCTGGTCAGGTCTGAGGGGAGAGCAGAGGTTCAGACACCTGGCAGGGACAGGCCTGTGGCTCAGGCTCTACAGTCAACCTTTGCAGCGCTGCAGCCTCAGAGAGCTGCCACCAGGCCCTGGTCACCCTGGGCTGGGGCTGTACACGTGTGCCAACCTTCTTCCCTAGGCCCCCAGTGCAGCCATCGCCCAGGCAGTTCTGTCTCGAGTGCTTACTGACAGCTCGGCTTGGAGATGGAAACCTTTGAGGGTACACGCGACTTCTTTTCCTCTTCTGCAAAGCAGCACCCACACAGGGATAGAGGCCAGCCCCCAAGAGCCAGAGAATGGAGAGTGCTGGGGTATGAAGATGAAGTAAGTCCTCTCCATCCGCTGCTGGCCCTGCTCTGCCCAGCCCCCAGGGCTAGAATCCACAGAGCTGCATGTTCAAGTGCAATGCCGCCACCACCAAGGGTGCCCTCACCTCCACCTCCTCACAAGTCAGCTCCCCAACACTGTGAGCCTGGCTCGACCAGCTCTCTGGCCTCCCTTCAGACTCTCAGCCTAATCTGCAAGCACATGTGTCTGTCTCTCCAGGCCCAACAACCCTCTCGACACCCTGGGACTTGCTTAAGGAGTCAACTGTGTGCTTGGTACACGGTGTGTGCTTGGTGGCCACCTGACAAATGATGTGTAGATGGAGGAATGGGAGGATGAAGAGACCGGTGGGTAGAGGGAAGGACGAGTGAGTGGATACATGGATGAACAGATGGATGGATGGATGGATGATGGGCAAATGTATGAATGAGAGAATCAGTGAACGGTCGGTGGTTAAGCCGATGGACAGATGGATGGTGTGGATAAATGTAATGACATGATGGACAGATGAGTGGGTGAATGGATGGACAGAAAGATGGATGAACAGAGGGGTAGATAAACAGGACTGAAGGATGAGAGGGTGAGTGGCTGAGGATGGATGGATGGATGGATGGATGGATGGATGGATGGATGGATGGGTGGACGGACAACTAGGTGAATAAATGGCTGCGTGGGTAAATGAATGGGTGAACAGATTGATGGATGGTACACAGATGACTGGATGGATAGATGGATGGAGAGAACAGAAGACTGTAAAGGCAGATGAACGTGTGGGTAGATGGACGGAAGGATGGACAGGTATGAACAGATGGATGGATTCATGAGGATGGAAGGATGGACAGGTATGAACAGATGGATGGCTGGGCGGATGAATGAACCTGTGCAGGTGGGATTCTCACCCAGGCCTTGCCTTCACTTGTCGCCACCCAGAGGAGACTCTGTGCCAGGAACGGCCTCACCTGTCCTGTTCCCACATGTCCCCAGAGGCTGCGACAGTGCCTGATTTCCAGCAGGTGTGTGGTAAGAGGGGGAGTCATCTGGTGAGTGTGGAACACGGAACCTCTCTGCCCGCCCTGCCCCGTGTGGGCCCCTCCCCAGGTCTCTGCCCCTATTTCACCCTGTAGCCCGGTGGGCTCCGCTGGAACGGGGCCCGGGGGCCGTGCGCAGGATGGGGCACTCACAGACGTCAGGGTGTCCTCCCTCCGGTGGCCCTGGCCGTGCCGGCTGATGAGTGAGCGCGCGGACAGCTTGTAGTGGCTCAGGAGGCAGGTGATGACCACCACCATCACCATCATGACCACCACGATGATGACGATCTGCACGAACTCCAACTCCGCTGTGGACACAGGGGCGCAGTGAGACCGGACCCCGAGCAGGGCCCGCCCCCAGAACCGCCAGCACCCCCAGGGGACAGACCCCCAGATGTCCTGGGCCCCACCGAGCCCGCCCCCCACAGCCTCCAGCACCCCGCCCCGTGGGAAGACCCAGACAGGGGGTGTGGTGAGACCGGGCCCCCGCCCAGCTCAGGGCCTGCCCCCCACAACCTCCCCCGTGGAAAGACGCACAGACGTAGGGGCGTGGCTTTCAAAGCCAGGGAAACCCACAGACACATTTTCCCAGCAGAGTCACATGACAGCGGGGTTGGCGTGGGTGGGCCAGCAGGCTGTCCTGTAGGGGCGGGGTGGTGGCAGCTGGGAGGACTTGCGAGGACTGTGCAGGCAGCTCCACATCTAGGGACGGACCCCAAGGAGGTGACTATGGGGGTTCAGGAGGAACCGCGCCCAGCTCCCAAAGCCCCCCAGCTCCCACGGCCATGGGGACCTCCTCCCCGCCCCAAGGCCTGAGCCCAGGTTCCCCATCAACACAGCACGCGGTCCAAAACAGCAAAGGCACCACAGGCAGGCTATGCAGCGCTCCCACGTCACACACCCACACACACCCACACTACACCACACACCCACACACCCCCACACACACACTACTCACACCACACACCCCTACATGCAGGCTATGCAGCGCTCCCACATCTCTCACACACACACACACACACACTACACCACACACACCCCTACATGCAGGCTACACAGCGCTCCCACGTCACACACACACTCACGTCCCCTTACGTAACACAGCATCCACACTTCACACACACAACCCTCCCACACTAAAACCCGAACTCCTCACTACACAACACAGATAACACACAACACAAACATAAACACTGTACAGACACTGACCCCACCACCCACGACAGTCAAGAACCTCGTTCTGGGGAAAAGGTCTCAGAAGAAAACGGTGGCGACAGACTAGGATTGGCAATGAGTGTCAGGGAGGCTGCTCCCTGGGGGAGGACAGTTCTCCAGTGGCCCGGAGGGCAGGGCGGCTGGTTCCTGACTGGGGGTGCACAGAAGCCCAGCACCCCTCTCCAGCCACAACTGCCCCTGACCGGAGCCACCTCCAGCCCAGCCTCCTATCCACGGAGGGAGCTCAGGAGGAGCCCCCACCCACTTCCAGGTTGGGATGCCCCACAATGGGCCTCCCCCAGCCTCCAGTCTCTCAGGGTGCTGGAGAGCTGACAAGCAACTAGAGATGTCCCTTAGGGCCCAGGTTCAAGGCCAGGGTCATTGACTTAGCACTCTTTCTTCTACTTGATGGCAAGAGAGCTCCACCCTGCTGGAGGCCCTGCCCTCCACACTCACCCTCGTGGTGGACCCAGGAAAAGAAGGTGCTGAGATGGAACGAGGTGGGCCTATCTCTGCAGCCCTGTGTCCCCTGTCCCGCCCACATTCCCACCCACACAGGCTTCCATCCATCACCCCACCCAGGGCCCCAAAGCAGGCCCTCTCTCAGGCCACTCTCTGCACCAAGTGGTTTTATGTCTTTGTTCCTCCGTGGGGTGGCTTTATCCTCCGGGGGCCACAGAGCAGTGTCTAAGGACCTCACAGGTCATCACAGTTAGGGGGAAGGGTGCCACAGTCACCTCGTGGGTCAATAGCCTATGAGATACAGGACATGGAGCAGACCCACCTAATCCTCTGTCCATGGTCCCTGACTGAGGGTCCCTGAGCTGCAAGGTGACACATAAATTACATACTATTTTCTACTGTGGCAAAAATATATTTAACGCACAATTTGTTTCTGTATTTTTACAAGCGTAGTTCTGTGACCCTGTTAGTTTGCCAGATGCCATCAACACACAGCCACCCCGTTTACCACAGACGGGAGTACCCAATCCTGTCAGTCCTGAGCCCCTCGGGCGACCCCTGTGCCAGTCCGGCTCACTGAAGGGCCTGCTCTTCTCCACTGACCCTCGACTTTCCAGGTGTCGTGTGCTTCTGACCGGCCCCCGTGGGAACTCGGCCAGCACCACTCTTGTTTCCAAGGAGCAGCCTGACTTGGCTTCGTCCAGGACAGACTTGTCCGTTCTTGGTCATCACTGGGGCGGCTGATGGTCCTCACCAGGCACCAGTCAGGCTCACCACGTAGTCCAATCACCGCCTTTCTTTTCTGTCATTCCCACCACCGTCCGTCACTCAGTGCCCTCTGATGAGACCCAGCAGAACAACAGTTAAGCGTTCAGTCAAGCGTGGACATCAGTGGTGGGAAACCACTCAGTGGTTCCACAGGAGTCGTCTCCCCGTGAGGCCTGAGAAACCCATCGGAGTGGTCGGCCGTACCACATGGGTCATGAGTCAGAACCGCTCTGATGATGCCCAACAAACAGCAAAGACAAGGCATTCCTGTCCTGTGCCCACTTTACAGATGAGGAAGTCAAGGCTCTCAGAGGTGCGCACTGGCCACTCTGGGAATGGAACTTGGGGTCTGGCTGGGGTTCCTGGCAGGTAGAATCATGTCTGCTTGGGGAGTCAGGACAAGGAGAGGCACCCTAGCCAGGCCTCCAGCATATTTCCAAGCTGTGGGGTCCCCTCACCCTCCCGCCAGGAGGCACAGGCTCAGAGCCTGGCTCCAAGCACGCAGAGTCCTCTCAGACGAGCTAGCTGGCAGCCTGGCCTGACCATGGGGCCAGGTCCTGTCTGTCAGGCCCAGATAAAGATGCCCATTGAAAGTGGAACATACAGGGCCGGCTTTGTCCAACACCACCACTCCTCCGCTCCCTCCTCAGAGAAGCCCTATAGCACTCCTGCCCCCCAACTTCACACACTCTTCACCCCAGTGGGCGCCGGGCCGTGGGCACCCCCAGCCCCTTCCCCCGCCTGGCGTCAGGTTCTGGAGGACCAGGCCAGGCCTGGAGGTGGGAGGCGGCTGCCACCTTTGTCCCGTCCCGAGCCTTGACAGTCAGGAGGGCCAGGCTGCTGCCTCCTTCCAGCACTGTCTGGGCCTCCATGAGGCTGGCACTCCAGGACCAGGTGTGCCAGGTGAGATCAGGATTCAAGGGCAGCACACCTGGTCCTGGAGTGCCATCGAGGTACGGACGAGACCCACCTGACTCTGACGAGACCCCCTGACCCAGGGGTGCTGGAGTGGCTGACTGATTTCTGGGGACGTACAAGCGCACCCCACTCTCCCAGTAAGGGGGACAGTCAGAAACGGACACAGTGGAACAAGACACCAATGGGGGTTACTAAAGGTCCGGTTGCCACAGACCTTCCACGTGTGAAAATGTAGCAGCTGTGGAGCGTGATGAAACGAGGCATGCCTCACCTGTCACTCGGGGCTGTAACCCCAAGTGGTGCTCACCTGAAGACAGGTATGGACACAGCAGCGCAAAGACCTGGTGACCTGTGGCCATAAAGATGCCAGCCGAGACAGTCCCTGGGCCAGCTCCTCCCTGGGACACACAGGGAATGGAGGGCACATGAGCCGAACTCTGGACAGTAACCGTGGCTCGGCCTCCCCCAGCCAGGTGTCAGAAAGTTCCCAGAGAAGAAGGCACTCAGCTTCAGAGTAACCCAGGCCTCCTGCTGGTGTTTCCAACCTGCTAGAGATTTCAGGGAAAGACTCGTCAGCCCCCACACTCGTGTGAACCAGCTCCCTGAAATAAGCCGCAGATATACAGGTATCGACGAAGACAGAGAAACAGGCGCAGACTCAGACCGCCCACTGGCTCTGCGGCTGCCTCTCTCCTGACACTAGGCCAAAGCAAGACCCTCAGAGATGCCAGGGGTCAGAGAGCCCTCACTGAGATGACAGAGGGTCCCAGGTCCACCCCAGAGCCCTCTCTGGGACATCAACGTGTGGCCCTGGTGCGGAGAAGGCCTCAGGAGAGGCGACAAGGAAGTCGACGACTTCCTGTACCTGGGGCCCGGGGCCTGAAGAGCGGCCTTGTCTGGGGAAGGAGCCCGAGGTGAAAGCTCCCTGGGAGGAGCAAAGGCTTGGGCACAGGGCCATGTGGAATATTCCAGAACGTGCCCAGGCCGGGAAGTCAGGTGGGAAGAGGTGGAGGGGCACAAAGGAGGCCCCTTAGCTACCAGTCAACGCATCCCATCTGTATGGCATAACCAGTAATTCCACCCTGGCTGGTGGCAGAGAGGGGCACCGGTCTAGAGTGGTCAGAGACTGTCCCATAGCATCGGGGACCCAGAAAGGGCCACCTCTGATCCTGGGTGCAGGCACTCTGGCCTGGTGACAACACCCCACCAGCCTTCGCTGGACATCAACCATGTGACCAACTGGTGTCAGATGGCACCCCCCCCCCCCCCCCCCCCCCACACACACACGTTACTCTGGAAAGGCGTGGGCAACCCAGGCTCCCAGAGCACCCACACTGCCGCCCGACACCCCTAGGTCGACAGGGTGTGAGGTCTTCAATGGGGGGCTTGGTGGTGCAGTGATGAAGCACTCAGTGGTTCAACGAAAAGTTGGCTGGTTGACCTGCTGCCTCAGGAGAGACCAATGCGGTGGTCTGCTTCCCTGTGGAGCCCACAGACAGTTCTATGTCCTGTGGGGTCACCAAGAGGTGGAACACGGACAGTAAAGGGTCAAAGTGCTGGCTGGCTGTGCACACAACACACTCCAAGCTGCGCTCATTGTTAAGTGTGCGAACAGCAGCTGGAAGGTTGCTGGTTCAACTCCTGCCCTCGCACCCCCAAAGCACCTCAGGAGACAGGCCTGGCTGTACGCTTCTAGGATGCCACAGCCCTGACAAGTCCAGAGAGCAGAGCAGGTGGGGTCACCATGAGTGGACATCAACTGGACAGTAACAGTGACCCCTTAACACACAGAGCTCTGGGGTCAGGGGCCAGTGACTCAGACAGAGCCCTGTGTCAAGCTCACTGCAGCCACCCTGCTCCCCACTGTCTGTCCACACCCCTGTCCACAGGCCACTTCCTCTGACCCAGGCTTGTGGCCGTACACTAGGGCTCCCCCAGGA